CTTCACATATGGAGGGCGGATCGTTTTCAAAATTTGGCTCTCGCCTTAGCGCGGCGCACATTCGTTTTAAACATTTGCAATAGAGTCGCGGATTGAAGGCGGGTGGCTCGATGGATTTCCATCACCAACGTACCAGCAATTATGATTCGAAAGGGTTCAGGATTACGCGGGCGCAGCAGTTACGTTAATTCGCTGTGTTGAATTACCAGGAATGGCGTTCTGGCGCGATTCAGGATCGTCAACACGCAACAGTCAGGTTGATCCGTGGCGTTGGAATCCCGAGAATCATGTTCTGGAATGCTACAGGGTCTTCAAACGGTTGTCTTCCAACGAGGCAGGTCCCCCCAATGGACACGAACCCTTGTAGTGACCTGTGAAGAGGGAGCTTGGAGGGAGGGCTTATTCCAACATCGTTGCTGACTCTTGGGTTTACACTGGTCCTCCTCCGCCTCCGCCTCCTCCTCCTCCTCCGCCTCCTCCTCCTCCTCCGCCTCCTCCTCCTGCTCCTCCTCCTCCTCCGCCTCCTCCTCCTCCTCCTCCGCCTCCTCCTCCTCCTCCTCCTCCTCGGGGGAGGGGGGGGGGCGCAGCGCGAAGCGGGGCAGAGCAAAGGGCTGACGGGCACCGTGCCGCTCCCGACCTGCGAGGCAAAAAGCGGGCGTGGACGGGGCGAGGCTTCTGTTGTCCCCATCCGACTGAAGGGTCACATCCCAGAAATGATTTCGAGCACCCAGAAAAGCATCAAAAGAGTGTCGAAGCAGTGTCGAAACAGTGTCGGGCGAGTGTCTCCCAGTGCCCGACACGTAAAAACCCTCGAGTTTCGGTACTTTTTTCTGGCGCTCGAAAATTCTTTCTGGTGGTCAACGCTAAAATAGGTTGGAGCAGAGCATCATAAGGCGAGGCGCGGGAAAGAGGGCGAGGGTGGGAAAGGGAAAGGGGGGGGGGGAAGGGGCGAGGGGAGAGGCAGGGAGGGGAGGGAGGGGAGGTGAGGGGGCTTCGGGGCTTCAGGCGGCAAAGCGAGTGTTGAAGCAGTCGGAGCGAGGAGGAGGGGAGGAGGAGGGGGGAGCGGGAGGGAATGGAGGGCGGGGAGGGACCTGGCATGGACGGAAGAAGGGAGGGTTTGGACGGGGAGCGGTCAGAGAGGAATGGGAAAAAGAGGAGGGGGCGAGGGAAAGGCCCAGGCACCGGGTGCTCAATTCTTTTCGAAACGTGGGCTCCCGGGACTCTCGACCTCCTCCCATCTTCCCCGAGGGTTTTGCACCACCAGCCCCTTTTCGACTGCCCCGAGGCTCTAAACAGGCATCCGCGGCACAAAGATGGCGCTTCAGATGCGCCCTGGACGTCTTGGAAGAAAGAGACGGGGCGAGAGGGAGCAGGAGGAGGAGGAGGAGGAGGAGGAGGAGGAGGAGGAGGAAGGAGGAGAAGGGAGGAGGAGAGAGGAGAAGGGAGGCGGGAGCAGGAGAAAGGGAGGAGAAGGATGAGGAGTAGGAGAAGGAGAAGACCCTCACATGCGATGCCCTGATTTTTCGGTATGGGGCCCCTGGAAATCCCAGCCCTTTCCCTGGGACCGGATTTTCATCCTGTCTCGTTTCTTGACGGCCCCAAGGCCTGGCCAAGGTCACCCCAAAGGCCCTACACGGCACCAAAGGCGCCCGTCCTGATCTCGTCAGGACGCCAGCACGTCTTGGTGGCGCGCAGAGGGGGGTAGGGTGAGGGGGGACGGCTTCTTAGGAGGCTGCTTCTTGAAGGCGCTGGCCCTGCATCTATAGAGAAGGCCCGCGCCTTCTAAGAAGCAGGGGTGTTTCTAAGAAGCCGCCCCCCCTCCACAGTTACACAATATGAATACTACTCTCCTCTCTCCCCTGATGACGTCCAGATGATATCGGGCCCCCCTCCGCGCACTGAATTTTAACACACAGGATTCCTGGGAAACTGGTTTTCGCTTGGTTTTTGTTGTCAAAATGTTGCTCCCGCTGAAGCGCTGGCCTTACTACCGGGCTTCTGCTCGTTCCGAATCGTGCTCCCGCTGCAGCGCTGGCCTCATTTCCGCGCTTCCGCTCGTTCCGAATCGTGCTCCCGCTTCAGCGCTGGACTCATTTCCGCGCTTCCGCTCGTTCCGAATCGTGCTCCCGCTGCAGCGCTGGCGTCATCATTTCCAGTGCCATACCACGGCATGATTTTCGGTCCTTCCAAATAGGCCCCAAAATCTAGAAAATGCCCCCCCCCCCCCCCCCAGAAAATCCATTGGAAGTGATTACACATTCGTTGTCGATTCGTTGATTTTGGGGCCGCAGAAGCCCACGTCGTGTTATGTCATGCTACGCGATGGTCTTCAGCACCATGCTATGCCATGCAATGCTATGCCATGTTGCGACACCCGACTGTGCGAACAGAGAGGAGATCTACGCCATGGTAAGAGGTGGGAGGGAGGGGTAGGACGTCAGATATGACGCGAGCGCGCCTAGCTTGCCCTGCCCCCACTGCGCGTGGCAGGACGCCTGGGGCGACTGCCCGGGCCCGACGCGGCGCCTCCTCCCCCTCGACGAAGAACCTGTCCGGCAGGGCCTCCCGCTCGGTGGCAATGTGCAGCCGGCGGGAGCCTAGTGGGGCCGGGCGGGGGACAGGGGGGAGGGGCAGGCGCCCCAACGTCGCGCCCCACTCTCCTCCTCCTCCTCCTCCTCCTCCTCCTCCTCCTCCTCCTCCTCCTCCTCCTCCTCCTCCTCCTCCTCCTCCTCCTACTCTCCTCCTCCTCCTCCTCCTCCTCCTCCTCCTCCTCCTCCTCCTCCTCCTCCTCCTCCTCCTCCTCCTCCCCCTCACCCCTCGCCCCCCTCAAGATCCGGGCGTCGCAGGGGCATCGCGGCGGGCTTCCCCGCCCGCGGGGGGGAGGACGCAACGGCAGCGACGTCTGCGGCGATGGCGGCGAGGAGCTCCTGCGGCGCGAGGCGCAGCGCCTCTGCGCCTGCGCGCAGGGCCTTCCGCGGGACACACAAGGACAGACTAGCCTACAGAGCAGTTTTTAATACATAGGATCTTTGAACATATAGGATGTTTGATACATGACTAATGTATGAATGAGTTTATTAATGAACTCATCCTTGTTTTTAATACAAGATCCCTGCATTTGTAATTCATGATCCGCACGCGGAGCATGCATAAAAAACGGCACTGTGCTGAGAGCCTCTGTTGGCGGCGCGCGGCCGACCCGAACATGTGGTGCACACGTCTTGCCGCGGGCCGCTGGCCGAGCCGCCTGTGGCCCGAAGGCGCCCGCCTCGAGGCTCACAGCGCAAGATGCTCGAGCCTCCGCGTCGCCCCTGCGTGGCCGTCGCGGCTACGCGAGAGGCATGTCCGGGTGGTGCTGGAAGACGTCGCGGCGGCCGCTGTGGCTTCTGCCTCTGGTCTCCGACTCGGCGGCGAGCCCAGGAGGGAGGTGAGAAGGAGAGGGCCTGCTCAGCAGGCTCGGACGTCCCCCATGGCCTCCTGCGAGGTTTTCTCAGAAGAAGAAGAAGAAGAAGAAGAGCGGCATGAACATCAACTTCTGGCGCTCTGCGCGGATGTCTTGCATCTGCGCCGGCCCCCCCCTCCCTGGCGCGCGGAGCGCGCCAAAGGCGGCGCCGGAGGCACCGCTGAATGGGGCCAATGCGGGTCCGAGAAATCCGCGCGGAGCGCCAAAAGCTTATGTGTATGCCGTGTTTTACGGGGGGGACTTCCGACTCGGTCGGGCATGTCCTCCTACAGGCGGGTTCGGACGGAAACAAAAAACAATAATACATCATCAGTAAGCAAAAGTCATTTGAGAACGTCGGCGCCAAGTATTTGTTGTACCATTCTTGAAGATCCCTCCCGTGGAGGGACCCGCCCGACGAACACTTCCGCGCCTGCTGGGCAGGCCTCCCCCGAAGACGCCACAGGAACCCCTCCAGCGGGCGCGCGGGCGTCCACCTCCTGCTCCCCCTCCTCCTCCTCCTCCTCCTCCTCCTCCTCCTCCTCCTCCTCCTCCTCCTCCTCCTCCTCCTCCTCCGCCTCCTCCTCCTCCTCCTCCTCCTCCCCCCTCCTCCTCCTCCTCCTCCTCCTCCCCTCCCCTCCTCCTCCTCCTCCTCCTCCTCCTCCTCCCCTCCTCCTCCTCCTCCTCCTCCTCCTCCTCCTCCTCCTCCTCCTCCTCCTCCTCCTCCTCCTCCTCCTCCTCCTCCTCCTCCTCCCCTCCTCCTCCTCCTCCTCCTCCTCCTCCTCCTCCTCCTCCTCCTCCTCTCTCCTCCTCCCGGCCCCCCCTCTCCGGCCCCCCCCCCGCCGGGCCCCGGAGGGTCCCGCCCCCCGAGGGGCCGGGCTGCAGGCCCCCGCGGCGGGAAGCACAGCGCGGCGGGCTGCTGGGCCCGCCGGCCGTGCGGGCCGTCCGTCTCCACTCGGCTCGGTGCCTCCCGCCTCCACCATCGAGCCTCCGCCAGCAAGCTTCCCTTCCCCCCCCCCTCTCCCAGGTGGATCCTCCTCCTCCTCCGACCTCCTCCTTGCCCTCCTCCTCCTCCTCCTTCTTCGCCTCCCTCTTCCTCCTCCTCCTCCTCCTCCTCCTCCTCCTCCTCCTCCTCCTCCTCCTCCTTCCTCCTCCTCGGACCCCAGCTGGGAGGCCTCCAGTGGCGCGCCCCCCTCCCTCCCAGGGACGGCCCGGTGCTGTGCCGCGGGGCACCAGGCAGTGTTTCCGCTCTGGGGGGGGGGGGGGGGCGCCGTCTCGCCTGCGCAGGGCGCTGGGCGGGCCAGGCTCGCCAGAGGAGGGGGAAGGCGGAAGCGGAGGCGGAGAGGAGGAGGAGGAGGAAGGGAGGAGGAGGAAGGGAGGGAGGAGGGAAGGAGGGAGGAGGAAGGGGAGGAGGAGGAAAGGAGGAGGAGAAGGAAGGGAGGAGGAGGAAGGGAGGAGGAGGGGGAGGAGGGGGAGAAGAACAAAAAGATACGCCGTAAGCATAGTAAGACTGGGAGAAGTAGGAACATAAGGAAAAACGACAAAGACTAGTAGGAACATTTCTAATAATCAGAATATTATGTTGACAATGCGCGTAATCATCACACTCTATGGAGAAGAAAATCGAACTCGTCATTATGAGTAATAACCGCACAAAGAAGGATAATATTGATATTAATCAGAAGGAGGAGGAGGAGGAGGAGGAGGAGGAGGAGGAGGACGAGGAGGGGGGGGGACCGCATCGCGCCGCATCGCCACTGCATCGCCGATGCATCGCCACTGCATCGCCGATGCAGCGGCGACGCATCGGCGACGCATCGGCGAGGCATCGTGGTGGGGAAACACGGGCTCCGCACCGAGCCTCAGGAGGCCAGGAGCCAGCTGGGGCATCTGGCCAGCGCTACCTCATCCGAGAACCCACTCCTCCTCTCTCCTCCTCCGTGTCCGCCTCCCACGTCGCTCTCTCACATCGTGCCAGATTGCATGTAGATGTGGCCGGTGCGACTGCAGGGATAAGTCAACATCGGCCCAATACGATGTCACATGCATTTTGGTATAGATGGTACTCGGCTATTCCCTTCCGTACTTAGTTTCTTCGCTCTGTCCCGTTCCGCCATCCCCCGTTCCCCCTCTCGCGACACGGCCCCCTCGTTTGGTGGCATGCGCCACCTCTTGTTTCCCCAGGGCGTCTCGGTGGAAACTGGAATTGGTTTGGGATCAACAGGGCCCTCCTGGCGACTTCTGGGGGAGGTCAGGTGTACTAGGCATGACCCCAAGATCTGATTGGACCCTGAAATCTGCCGATCTAGCATGTGAGTTTCAAACAGCCTAAGCTGCAGCCTACAGCCTGAGCTTCAGCTCTGCTGGGAGGGGGCCTGTTCCGCCTGTGATTCGCTTTTTCTGGGCGGTGCTGGGATGCTCAAAAACCCGCCAAACTCCCAACCCAGGGGCCAGAGAGCCCAAGATGGCCGCCAAATCTTTGATGGCCCAGGATGCCCTCCAATAAAGGCCCGAGGAGGCCCAAATCATGTAGTTGATACATGCTTTTGGCGGATTTGGGCGCTTAATTCTTTTGGGCCTTCCGACGGCCCCAGAGGCTCCCAAGTTCGCCCCAGAGGCCTCCAAGATGGCATGACGGCCCCATATGCACCCAAGACGGCCAAGATAGCCTCCAAGGCGGCCCTGAAGCGCCCCCAGAGCGCTCCCAGACGGCACAGCGAGGCGCCCAAGACGGCTTCCGACGGCGTCCGACGGGCCACGAACGCCCTAAGACAGCCAAAAAGGCTTGCAAGAAGACCTGAAGAGGATCCAAGACCCTCTGGAGACGCCTCCTCCTACGACGGCCCCAAGGGGGCCCTAAGACGCCCCCGCCCCCTAGGCATCCACGCGAACCCGAGCACCCTCGGGAGCGCCCAGGCTCGGCGGCATTGGCCGGAGGCTGCTGCAATAGGAGACGTTGCCGCTCGGCTTATAGCACGCTCCCGGCAAGACACCTCGCTGACACGCATCGCTGTTGCTGCCAATCAAGAGTAACCCCCAAAAAAGGGCCGCTAACCATTTGGGAAGGGCCTTGAGTTACGAGGGCCGCAACCATTTGGGATAAGGGGCCATGTTTTCCGTAGATGTATTGTACAACGCCGCCCAGATACGTTATCCTTGATGCACAGATGGGGACCTCAGTGAGGCCACGTCTTCACTGCGTTAGTAAGGTTAGGGGTTCTTTGTCCTCGATGAACACTTTTTACGTCGGCGGCTAGGCAGAGGGTGATTGTGCTGGCGATGAATGACATGAGAGGTGGTACCGTTGGACCGACTTGTGCCACCATGCAGGAGGAGGCAGGAGGAGGGACGCGGCCGAAGGAAAACAAGGACGGGGCGGGCGGCTCAAGGGCCAGAACGCTCCCCGAGCGTGTGGCGCGGCCGGCCCCGCCGCGGTGCACGCGGCGGCTGCTGCGACATCGGGCCGGGGGCGGCGGGGCCAAGTGCGTGAAGACGAGTCCCGGATGAAGGGTGCGCAGCCAACACACGCACACACACATTGGGGAACGAAAAATGACATAAACATAAAAACTCGGAGGTCCGTGCGGATTTCTCGGATCGACACTGGGGCCCCCTGGCGGCGCCTCTGGCGCCGCCCCTGACGCGCTCCGCGCGCTGCGAGTTTGGATGCTTATGCCATTTTTCGTTCCCCTGGCGTAGCGGACGCTCACTCACACACGCACGCACACACGCGCACACCCGTACGTTGCGTACGTGCCCGGCAGTTCCTCGCACCCGCGCGAGCGCCCCCCTGGAAAGAGAAGGCCCCCCCCCCTTTGGCCCCCTGGGCCTGCCGGGTGCCCGGAAAGGAGCCCAGGTGGGCCCCGCCGAGGCGCATCGATGCCTGGATCGGCGGAGGGGCGGAGGGGCGGGAAGAGCGGCGGAGGGGCGGGACCAGTCGGCGTCGTTTCGAGAACCCAGGGAAGCCATTTAAATGTCAAAAAACATAAACATAGGTTTTGTTTTGTTCTGCTTCGAGTTGTTGTTTTTGTTCTGCTTTCCGATCGAATCGAAGCGGGTGTGGAATCGGGCCCGCGTCGACACGGAGTCGAGATCGAAGCAGATCGGCGGCGCCAGGCTGCACAGCAACGCCATGCCGGCATCGGGCAGCATCGGATCGTCGGCATTCCTCGGGATCGGAGCGGAACCGTGCCGACCGACCGAGTGGACCGTGCCGACCGACCGGAAACGAGACGGTGTGGGCATTGGATAAGGAACCCTTAGGTAAGGAATCCAGGGTCTGGAAGCCAGTGGAACTCCAATCCTGGATCGCCCATGGATATCACCGCCGCCCTCATTGCGTAAGGGAACCTCCAGGGTCTGGCGCCTCCTGGGACTATTCCTGAACAAACGCCTCCACCGTATCGAGTCGGATCGATCAGATCAAAGTGGGCCCTGAAGGGTGGACGAAACAACCCGCACACGGGGGGACGAGGGGGCCCGAGCCGCGCTCTTGGGGCCGCGGCCGTCTGGCATGTCCGCCGAGACGTGGGGCAGGCCGATCTCGTCGGCCAACCAGTGCAGGAGCTTGCGCCGGTAGGACGGCAGGACGGCCGGCAGGATCCTGCCGCTGCATCGGGGGAGGGCGAGCGGGGCAAAGGGGGGGGGGGGCAGGAGAGGGGGCAGGACGACGGCAGATCTCCTTCCTCCGTCTACTCCGCCTCTCCCTCGTCCCGCCCTCCTCCTCCTCATCCGTCTAGCCCCCTCGAGCGGTTTGGGGGCGACCCGTGTGCAAGGACACGGGCGAAGCTGGTGTGCAACCCCGGCCCCGCGCACACCATCTCCACGCCACGGCGGAGCCCCCGCGGGCGCGGGTAGGCACGGAAAACTCGATCTGGGGCGGAATAAATGAATCGAGGCGGAAGCTCGCCTCGAGTGCCGATTCTATGTGCAGGGAGCCTTCTGCATGGCCATACACGACGCCACAATCAGGCCCCCAGCGAACCCATGGCCACCAGTCCCGTGCCCACCCCCTGAGGCCCGCGCCCCCCCTGCGGAACAGGCCCCGCGACCTCGGGAGGCTGCTGGGGGCCCAGCATTGGAGAAGACAAGACGTCGGATCTCTAGAGTGGGGGGGGGAGTAAAGCAGGATACGCTGAAGAGAAAGCGGGTATGATGATGATGATGATGATGATGATGACGATGATGATGATGACGACGATCACCAAGACGACGACGACGACGACGATGATGATGATGCTGATGATGATGATGATGGTGATGATGATGATACTGATGATGATGGTGATGATGATCATGATGGGGATGGAGATGGGGATGGTGGTGATGATGATGATGATGATGATGATGATGATGATGGGGATGGGGATGGGGATGGTGATGGCGATGGCGATGGTGATGGTGATGGTGATGGTAGTGATGATGATGGTGATGATGATGATGGTGATGATGATGATGATGATGATGATGATGATGAGGGCCAAGCTCGACAGCAGGGCTGCAGCGGATGGACTGCGCGGCGGGAGGCAGGATACCGAGGCAGAGGCCGGGGGAGGCGGCGGTCTCTCTCCGCGCGCAGAGGAGACGTCTGCTCCACGAGGCGAACGGGTCTTCGCCCACGGCTGCGGGTGGCCTCACAGGCCCTGCGACATCTGTACATAAGGCCACCGGCCAGGACGGCCGTGCAAGTGCACTCTATGGCATCAAGCCAGACCTGCAGATTCGCTCCCGGTCGCCACGCAGACTTGCCCTACGCCAGCCGCCCGGTCTGACAACAGATGGGGCCTAAATTACCCTGGCGCCCTTTTCCCCCCTCTCTCTCTCCCCCTCTTTCTTGCTTATGTTGTCTATCTGTCTCTCTCTCTCTCTCTGTCGTTCTCTGTCTCTGTATGTATGTAAATACATGTGTCTACACATATATATATATATACTAGAACCACGCGCGCGCTTCGCGCGCACTTAGGTTCTAGCTAGGAGGCGAGCTTGAGTCAACGAAAGTCGCAGGGAAGGGGGCAGGGGGAAGAAGGCCAGAGAGCGCTGAAGGATACAAATACTGGAACCCTCTTGTGATTTTGTGGGGGGCCTCGTCCGGCCGCTCGCTGGGAGTTTGACGTAGCTTCTCGGGAGCCTCTGAACCTGTCGGGGGCCTCCTGGAAGCAGGTTCGAAGCATTTTGGGGGCCGATTTGGGGCTTCTCGGGGCCTCCTTTGGGCCTCTTGGGGGTCTCCTGGGGCCTCTTGAGGGGCCTCCTTGGGGCCTCCTGGCGGCCTCTTGGGGCGGAAGGCTCGAGCTTGCGGTTCGTGGTCCCCCTCTGGGCCCCCTCTTGGGCCCGTCTTGGGGCCCTCTTGGGCCATCTTGGGCGCCTCTTGGGCCGTCTTGGGGCCCTCTTGGGCTGTCCTGGGGCCCTCTTGGAAGCTTCTTGGGCCGTCTTGGGGCGGTCTTGGGCGCCTCTTGGGCCGTCTTGGACGCGGTGAAAGCCCAAGAGGCGAACATGCGAAAAATATACGTTTTCCCATAGGAATGGCACGATTTTTGCTTCTTGGGCCTCTCTTGGGCTGCCTCTCGGAGCGTCTTGGAGGCTTCTGGGACCTTCTTGGTGTCATGACAGGCGTCTTGGAAGGCATCTGGAGCCATCGGAGCGCGTTCCGAAGCCGCCTGCGAACGATCTTGGACGGCGTCCGGCGGTCCGACGAGCCTCCGGGCCCCCCGGGGCCCACATTTGTGGTCGAGGTCCCGGCCCCGGGCCCCCGGACCCGGTGCGCCGTTATATGTGTATGTCTATATATACACATATATATAGATATATATATGTGTGTGTTTGTGTATATATATATATATATATATATATATATATATAGGTGCGTCTATGTGTATGTGTGTATGTGTGTATGTGTGTGTCTGCATGTGTGTAGCCGCCACCGTGCCTCGAGGCACGAATTTGAGGTGCCTCAGGTAACTTTGAACTCCATGCTCAAGTACGGCAACTATTCTTAAGGGGTCAATCGCCAAGAGATCTGGGCGTTCCCGGGAGCTCCCGCGCGCTCTCGTGGGTTGCTCGCGTGACTTTCCCAGAAGCCAAGATCGCGCTGTTCGGAACATGCATGTTTAGCATGGTCCAAGATGGCCCCGAGGACCGTCCTGGAGCCGACTTGGGCGCGCCTCCTGGGCTGTCTTGAAAGCCATGGAGGGCGGCATGAGAAACCACAATCGCCAAATCCGTTGGTTTTGTAGTGTTGAAACATTATTGCCTTTTTGGTATTCAGAGTGTCCAAGACGGCCCAAGAGGCGCCCGAGATTGTCCCAACAGGGGCCCGAGAGGGGGAGCACAAGCTGATATTCCGAGCACTCCACCCCAAGATGACCCCCGAGACCGCCAGCAGGTCCCCAAGAGTCCCCCCCGAAACTTCTGAAAGACCTCCCAAGCGAACCCCACATGCATTCAAGAGGCCTCTGACCTATGACCAAGACACGGTAACGGGATGCGCCTTTAAAAACTCCCAGGGGGCTTTCGGCACAACCCGCCGGCCACCCGGAAAGACTGCTCACAAGGAGGGGGAAAACCAGGAAACTCGCCTCCACCAGGACCTGTAAACTTCCAAGGTCGTCGACCTTGCCGATGCAGATGACACTAAGAGGGCTTCCAAGAAGGCCAAGATGGTCTCCAAGACGGCTACGATGGACCCAAGGGAGCCCAAGATGGCCCCAAGTTTTCGCAAAGACGACCCCAGATGCCACCAAGACAGGCCAAGATGGCCTCAAGATCGCCGAAGATGGCCTAAGAGGCGTCCAAAACAGCCCAAGTGGCCTCAAAGAGCACCTCCAGGAAGGCACCGCATATGTAGAAATCATTGATTTTCTGGGAGGTTTGAAAGATTCTGGCGTTTGCTCATTTTCCGCTTTCGGACGGTCCAAGAAACGGTGGGCTTGCCATAGGGGTACACGGCGTGCCAGACATTAGGTAGTTGTTGGTCCTCTTTGAACAATTTCTTGTGGACCGTCGGCCCAACTCGCTGGCCACCAAGAAAGACCCGCAAACACGCGAAAGGAGAAGAAAACTGAAAACTCGCCTCCAACTCGGGAAGAAAGCTGATTCCAATATGGCCTCCAAGATACCTCCAAGACGGCTGAGATGGCCCCCAAAGAACCTAATATTGGTCGCAAGACGCCTCCAAGACAACCAAGATGACCCTAAGACGGCCTAGGACCCCTCCAAACGGACCAGAGGCCCCCAAGACGTCCCAGGAGGGCTCCAGGCAAAAATCAGTGATATGGCTTCGGCTGTCCAATGCATTCAAACTTCTTACGTTTTCGGGTTTCCGATGCTCGAAGGCGGCCCATAAGCTCCGAAGATCGCCCCAAGACGGCCCAAGATACCCTCAAGAGGCCCGCATGACGGCCCAAGAGAGCCCCAATCAGCCCAAGCGGCCCCCAAGACGGCCCCAAGACGGCCCCATAGACCTCCAAGACGGCCCACAAGCGCCCAAAGAGGGGCCCACGACTGCCCAGAGAAGGCCCCAAGACGGCCCCCGAAGGCCAAGAGGTCCCTCAGAGACCCCAGCGAGGCCTCCAACAGGCCCCAGGAGGGCCCCTTAGAGGCCCCAGGAGGTCCCCACGAGGTCCGCAGGAGGCTACAAGAGGGCTTCAAGAGGCTCTTCTGTTTCTCTTTCCTCCTCCTCCTCCCTCCTCTTCCTCCTCCTCCTCCTCCTCTTCCTCCTCCTCCTCCTCCTCCTCCTGCCCCTCCTCATCCTCATCCTCCGCACACTCCTCGTCATATTTTTCCTCCCTCTCCTCCTCCGTTCTCTTCCTCTCCTAAGTATTCTCCACCAAGGGGTTCCACAACGGATATGGGGGTACGTATTCTAATAATTTCGCCAAACTTCGGCCCAACGTTTGGCCGCGTAGGTGCTTCCAAATGGTAGAGGGCGGCGGTGGTCTTCGGTCCACCGCCCCCCGTGGCTTGCCACAGGGGTGCACAGCAAGCCACATGTTCTAGCTGCATGTTGGTCCTAGAAAAAATCCCAACGGGCCTTCGGCCCAACCCGCCGGCCACCCGAAAAACGCGCACGGAGGCCCAAGGAGAAAACAAAAACGGAAAACTCGCCTCCACGAGAAACCGTTAACTTCCCAGGTCGTCGGTCTTCCCGCTACAGACGGCACTAAGAGGCCCTCCAAAACGGCCAAGATGGTCTCCAAGACGGCTACGATGGCCCCAGAAGGGCCCAAGATGTCTCCAAGACGGGCCGGGATGCCCCCAAGATGAGCCAATGTGGCTTCAAAATCGCCCAAGACGGCCCAAGAAGCATCCGAGACGGCCTTCGAAGAGCATCGGGCCCGCAGAGGTCGAAACTATTGAAATTCCTTCGGTTTTTGAAGGATTGGGACGTTTGCTCATTTTCGACATTCCAGCGGCCCATGACGTCCACAAAGGCCACGCGATGCGATGCGACTACCGTTGCGGACAGCGTCCGGGCCTAGCTCAGACCAGGTGGGTGAGGCCGTGGCCTCGAGAATCTGACCTGTCTGGATACATTCAGTGCGGGAAACTTAAAAAGTTGGGGAGGGGAGGAGGAGGAGGAAGAGGAAGTCATTGGTGTCAGTGTCGGCGCGGGCTGGGCGTGTCGTCTCGACTTTCTCTAGGCGTTCACTCAGGGGTCTTGGTCCTTGGTGTTTGTTGGTGCGAGTTCGGTGCACTGATGCTCGAGCGCCGCCCACGTTTCGGTATCTTGGGCTGTTTGCGTCCATGTAATGTCGTTTGGTTGTCCTCTCGATTGGGTATGTGCGGATGGTCGGTGGAGGTCTGGCCTGCGTTGGCGTAAGTCGGCATTGATTTCGTTGTCCCAACGCTTGCGTTGGCCACCGTGTTGCATCTGTCCTTGCTGGCGCCGGTTGAAGTTTGATTGCCAGCGTAGCACTTGCCATGTCCACCTTGTTCGGTCAGGGTTTGCGACTATTGAAGCCCAGCGCCATTCTTTTCGATTGTGTACCGTACTGTGCCATACCTTTCGCCATGCTGTGCAAATTCATGGAGAGCTCTGCTCGTCGAGTCGCTCGCTCTCTGGATGTATCCGACCCAATGTTCCAACGGGTTTGCAATTGTGATATCTTCGCGGCTCTCGCTGTGCATGTCGGGCGTGATCGGTGTTTTGCTGTCTGTGTCGTCGCTAGCGCTGTTGGTGCTGTGGTCGTTGTCAGGTGATCTCTCATTGTTTGCGCTGTCGAAAACCATGGGTCTCTGGCTGCTGTGAAGGTCTGCTTGTTGTGTTGTGCGTCGCCGCGGCGTTCTGATGATCATGCGCAGCATGCGTCGTTGTGTCCGTCGTCAGCGCTGCCGGAAAGGGCCCCGTGAGCATCCACGTTCTTGCTCCATGTAGCATTGTCCGTGTTCTAGTGCTGCTGAATAGTCGGGGTAGGTGAGCCAGGGGATCGTACTTGCTGGTCGAGTTATTGTTTGCTGCAAGCGACCGACGCCCATGCTGCTCTCGCGCGGTACTCGATGTCTGTGTCCATCCACTCGTGGAAACTGGCCAATTGGCCGAGGTATTTGAGTCTGCCCCCGTATGGGAGGATTTCGATATCCATGTCGTGGACACGTGCTGTGCGTGAGCTCGCCCTCCCCGTCCTTCTCGTCCGTTTGCTAAGTCTGTTTGTTTTGCCCGGGTGTAATTCGAGCACGCGTGGCTTTGCTGCGCGCGTAATGTCGTCGATCATCGTCGTTAGACGCACGATGTGTTTGGCTCAGGAGTACGCCGTCGGCGAAGCGTAGGTTGGTAAGCGCGGCAGTGCTCGCGAATCTCAATTCAAACTCCTTCGCTGACCGCCAATTCGGAGAGCAGCGGGTCAAGGATGCGTTGTAAAAGAGCGTTGGAAAGTAGGGGGCTCAGTGGGTCGTCATGCTTCGTGCCCCGCAGAAGGCTAGACAAGTCTGCTGTTGATGTTCGTTTTTCACCGTAACCATCCCTCGCAGAGATGCCGAAGTACTCCAATACATCCGGGTGGTACGCATTGTGCTCGCAGTGCTGCCCATATGCTCTTGTGCCCAACTGAGTCGAAAGTTTGCGTGATATCGAGTGACGCGACCCATGAATGTTGGCCCCATTGGTGCCCAGTCACGTAATGGGTGGCAGGTGAAGAGGTGGTCTGTGAAGGGGTGGCCAGGTCTGAGGCCCGCTTGGTCGGCAATCTGGTGGGAGTCAACTGTTGGTTAAAGTCTGTTGCGTAGCAGTCGGCTGAAGAGCTTGTGTTGCAAACCTATCGTGCAAATATGGCGGTAGCTTCCGCGTTGTGCCAGCACTATGATGACTGTGTTTTTTCCAGCTGGCCGACGGCGGGGCGCTGCCATGCAACGTCGCGTTGCAACTGTGGAAAAAAACGCACATCTGAATCCCAGCAGCCCCCTGGGCGTCGGTGGTTAGGGAGTTTCCTCGTCCACCCCTCCTTCTTCCCCTTCGGGGAGGGGTTTATCACTGTTCCCTATTAATATACACCCCCTCCACCAGGCGACTGGGGGCCAACCCGAATCCATGAGGGCCCCCCACCATCCTTTGTGAAAAACAATGCAAAACACACGCTGCCTCCAAATTCGGAGCATGCGCAGCGAACCCGATGCGGCCTCCCCCCACCATCCCTATCAAAAACAATACAACATACACTTGGCGGCGGCGGCGGCTGCGGCGGAGGCAGCGGCTGCGGCGGCTGCGGTGGTGGCGGCGGCGGTGGCACGGGGGGGGGGGGGGCGGCGGCGGCGGCAGCGGCAGCGGCGGCGGCGGCGGTGGCGGCAGCGGCGGCGGCAGCGGTGGCGGCAACGGCTGCGACAGCGGCTGCGGCGGCGGCAATTCGGCAGCGGGGGCGGCAGCGGCGGCGGCGGCGGCGGGCGTCGCGGTGGCGGAGGCGGCGGCGGACAGCGGCGGCGGCGGCGGCGCGGCTGCGGCGGCGGGCGGCAGCTGCGGCGGCGGAGGCGGTGGCTGCGGCGGCGGATTCGCCCCCAGTGGCTGCCCATCCAAAAACGACTGCTGCATATGCTGCGGCTCGGGCCAGGCTCGGGTGCTACGTATGTGTTGGGAGGGCGGATGGGAGTGAACGAGACGGCATGCGGGCGTGGAGGGAATCTTGACCCCTCCCCTTACCCCCCCCTGGACCTGGACGGGGGGTTCGCGAATCGTCGGGGCGTCCAAAACGGCCTCGGCGAAGAAGCCACAATCATTGATGTTACTATGGTTTTGGCCCCCATGTTGGCCTCCTGGGGGGGCGGCTGTAATTAGTACCCCCCCCTCCTGTGATCGATCTCCTCCAAGATGGCCCCAAAATGCGCCCAGGAGGCCCCAAGGGGTCCCAAGATGGCCCCAAGATGGCCCCAAGAGGCTTCCAAGAGGCCCCCGGGAGGCCCCCAAGAGACCCCCAAGAGGTCCCAAGAGACCCCCCAGAGGCACCCAAGATGCTCCAAGAGGCCTCGGCGAGAATGCCAAATCATTGACAGTTTTAACCACATGTTTGCCGCTTGGGGGGGCACCGATTAAGATGATTCCAAGAGCGCCTGGGAGAGTCCACGCTAACCTCCAAGATGGCCCAAGATATCCCAAGATGTCTCATAATGGTTTCCTCTGTGTGCTGCCCACTTCCCTGATCGAGGCAATTCCTCTGGGCATCGTTTCTGGATGAGTTGGTGGGGATTTTTTTGTTTGATTGGCGGCTCCAAGGAAGAGTCCAGGAAGCGGGGCAAGCACGTCTGGGGAACAGGCGGGATAATTAGTTACGAAGGCGCCTAGGCCGCCGCAACAGGTGCACCTGCAAGAGGCAAAATGTCCCTCATTAAGATGCGAGCGACCCGAGACGGAGACGCAAGCACAAGACTGGAGCAGACGGAGAGAAGACGCACAGTGGCGCCAGCTCAAACCGAACAGCCCAGAGAGCGTAGGCCAGGGTCGACCAGCCAAGTGGCGGGACAGTGGGCACGTGGGGCCGCACCGCTCACCACTACGAGGCGAGAGAACGGGGAAAGCGCGGGCAGAAGGGAAATGGCCGGGAACGCCTCACTCACAAGGACTCCTGGGCGCGATCCGACAAGAGGCATCGACCAATGCGCTGACGTCGATGCAGCCGCTGAGTCCGAACCAAGACTGCCTGACCCGGAGTGTCGGGGAAACGGCAGCAGGCGTGGCCTAACACCATGGTCCAACCCGTAGTTCAGCATGAGTACTGCCAAAGGGTGAACCACTTGTGCAGTATCAGGAGCACGATGGTGGCTCCCGCCCAGAGTGGTACCACGTCGTAGGCGAACAACGCAGGCAGCTGATCCATCACGGTGGACGGGGAAAGCTGGTGGGGATTCGCGAAGCGTCAACAATTCTTCTGCGCCCTCTTTACGCAGTTCTGCGCGGAGGCGTGTTGGTGTCTGGGGCTTTGCTAAGCCCAAGGCCCGTGATCGCCTCGATTAGCTCTGTAAGTATGAAAGGTGGTAGTCGGTGGGTCGGCTGGTCGGTGGTATGTTGTCAGTCACAGAGGTCTCAGAGATGGCCCCCTGACGGCACAGGAGGTTCTCAAGCTGTCCCCAAGAGGGCCTCAAGACGGCCCAGGAGACCTGCAAGACGCCCAGGATGGCGAAGAACGTCGGGACGTGCCGACGCTCGTCTCGAGCCTTCGTGGCAGCAAGGCATCTGTCGGCGGCGAGCGTGTGGGTGATGTGAGAAGGAGAAGGCCTTCTCAGAAAGCTCGGAAGTCCCCTAGACTTCCGAGAACTCTTCTGAGCTTCCCCCTCAGACACGGAAGACTGCTCAGAAGGCGGGGGGGTGCCTCGGAAGTCCCGCCGCCTGCTGAGAAGGCATTCTCCCTCTCGCTTCCTCCCCTCGCTCGCCGCAAAAGCTGGCTTAGAAGGACGAACAAACCGTAAACCGTGGGCACGGAGACGGGCATCATCAGAGCTGGGACGGTCAAGCGCAGGCCCGGGGGGCTGCCGTGGGTGAAGGAGGCGTTCGACAGGAGGGTCGACAGTCGCCCCGTATATAAGAAGGACGCACGCTGAGGATGCAAGGGCTTTCGAATGCCATGCCGACACTTTGCGAGCGGGGCACGGCCAGCGAAAGCGGCTAAGGACGGGACGAAGGCGAAGGACGTGCAAGGGTAACCTTGGAAAGTCGCTCATCCTTACTGTGCGGGCTGACCGTGCCCCGTGTGGTCCAAGAACGACTTGAAGGGGTCAAAGTCCTTCGAGGGATGCACTCCCACTGAGGGCTGCCAGGCTCGCGACGACGACCGGGCTTCAGCCAGATTGAGCTGGTCGCCCCAGGGCGCACGCGACGGGACGCATTCGGCGGCGGGCGGAGCTCAAGCGGAAGCAGCCCGGCGGACCGAGCATCAGCCCCCCGGCGGCGCCGAGGGCTGCGCCGAGAGCGGCGCCAGCTGGACCAGCAGCATCTGATGGGCCCGGTTTCCACCACCACCACCATCAGAAGTTGGAGGGGGGGGGAGGTGGAGGACGAGGAGGAGGAAGTGGAGGACGAGGTGGAGGACGAGGAGGACGAAGAGGAGGAGGAGGAGGACGAGGAGGAGGAGGAGGAGGAGGAGGAAGAGGAGGAGGAGGAGGAGGAGGAGGAGGAGGAGGAGGACCCCCTCCCCCTCCAACTCCTGGTGGTGCTGGAGGAGAAGAGGGCCCTTCAGGTTCCGCAGCCCGGAGCCCCGAGCGCGAGCAGCCGGCGCGCGGGGAGCGCGGGGCTGGAGCGGGCGAGAGCCGGCGGCGCGCCAAGGCTCTCGGCTGCAGCGCGCGGCGGCCCCGATCCCGGGCGGCGGGCGGCGGGAGGAGGAGCAGCCTCGAGCTGGGGCAGCGCCAGCGTCCGCCACGGCAGCGACGGGTGGAGGGGTGGAAAAACTGCCCTACGGCAGGTCCGTGTCGTGCCGACTTCTGCGCTGGCTGCTGGCACCACGGGGATCGTTCAACCCGGAACGATCGGCCACTCCCGAGATGTCAGATCGTTCAGCATCGACCTTTTCTGGGTCGCCGGCGGCGTTCAACGTTGAACGCCAGCGGCGGTGTCGCCGCCTGTCGACACGACACGAACCTACCGTACCCTGGGTTACAAGTGCGTGGTCTGTAGACCTCCTGGGAACCCCCAGGGCCCAGAGAGCCGCCAGGAGGCCGCACGTCACGCAGGGCTTACCCTGTCAGCCCGCAGGAGTTTCAGCGCACAGCGCCTCGTAAACCAGGGTAGGGGCGTTTTTTTAATGCCCTTGAAGGAAGAGCGCGGGGGAAAGCCGGCCAAGAAGGCCGACGTCGAGACGACCATCAACGTGATCGAGGAGCTGCAACCGAGCGAGGAGGTGAACCGGGAGCAACATGAACAGGCGGGTCACCTCGGGCAGGGAGGTTGCCGAGGAGGCGATCACCAAGGCCGGGCACATGGAGCTGGACCGCCTGGACGAGTGCAGGGCCAAGGTGCACGCGCAGCGGCGGAGGTACGGCGAGGACCCAGGAAACGTGGCGTGGAAGCTCCAAGTGCACCATTTACGGGGTGAACGAGACCATGGTGGACTTCGACAGTCTCTCCAGCGACATCCGCGTGAGCGAGCTCGGCACGAGGAGGTTCGCTTTGGAGCCGAACGTCTACGTGAGCAGGAACAGCAAGAAGATCGTGACAAGGCACATGGACAACGGCTTGGTAGCAGGCGAAGGAGACGGACCATATGATTTCCTTCTAGGTCTCGGGGGCCACTTCTTGCCGAAGACATCGCTCGAGATGCGCCATGGCAGCCAGCACAGCCACCTGGGTCGGACCACCACAATGTCGGACTCAGGCCTGAGCTACACCATCAGAATCGCACCTACGACCGTGGAGAGCCTTCTCGAGCTGATGGGTATGACCACATGCAGGGGGGTGGCAACGCCTGGTGAGAAGACGGAAGCGGAGCGGGATACGGAAGAGCTGCTAACGATTCGGAGGCCCGCAACACGAGGACGGGCATCGGTAAGCTTCTGCTCGTGGCTGGCGAGCGGCACGACGTGCAGGTCGCTGCGAAGGAGGTGAGCCGTGGAATGGGCAAGCCGCCAGTGAGAGACCTGGCGCGCCTCAAGAGAGTCGTCTGCAGGTACCTGAGCGGCTCGGAGGGCATGGTGAGCTACATCACGCCTGAGGTCAACAACCAGATCGCACTGCGCGCGAAGGGAAGGACGGCAGCATTTCGGCAATGAAGAGTACGTCCTCAGGCCACACCTACATGAACGAGGCGGCGGTGATGCGCTACAGCAGAACCTAGTCGAGTTCTGCTATGTCACCAGCAAGGCCGAGGTATACGGTATAGAAACCAGGAGGGTGTGAGGCGTTGTTCGCCAACCCATTCCTGGAAGAGATGCTCCCCCAGAGTGCGGTGACCCTGATCATGGAGTCAGACAGCTCGGCAGCCATATCATCACAGAGCAGGCTGGGCCTCGGTAAGATCAAGCACGTCCACCTGCACCACATGTTCATGCAAAACTTGCTGAGGTAGGGGCGCTTGGTGGTCAGGGTCATCGGGACGGCAGTCGACAGCAGCGACCTCGGAACCAAATCTTTGCCAGGATGGAGTTCGAGCGCCATCGCGAAGCGGTGGGCATCAGGAGCCCAGAGGTTCCTGATGCCCACAAGGCACAAGCCGTTCCGCTCACTCCCGCCCGCCCTCCCAACACGTAAGTCGGGCCTGTCCCCCTACAGGGGAATTTTGGACGAAAAATGAAATAGTAAAAAATACCTTAAAATACTCACACATTGTCAAACAAATCGTTCCCAGACTATTTTTTGATTATTTGTGAATATTCCCCCTGTAGAGGGACAGTCCCGACTGAAAAGTAACACCCGAGTATCCTTATCGAAAACCAATGCAAAGCGTTCACGGTGCACCGGCGCATGCTCCAGACTTGGAGGCAAAGTGTATGTTCTGCTGCTTTTTGGCAGGGACGGTTGGTTTGCGCGCAGTAAACACTACGAGCGCGGGCATGATCGGTAGCGTGTCTAGGGGAACAAAAAATGGCATAAACATAAAAACTCTGAGGTCCGCGCAGATTTCTCGGATCGGCGCTCGGGCCCTCTGGCGGCGCCTCTGGTGCCGCCCCTGGCGCGCTCCGCGCGCCAGGGAGGGGGTCCAGCGCCTATCCGAGAAATCCGCGCGGACCTCCGAGTTTTTTTTATGTTTATGTCACTTTTTGTTCCCCTAGTGTCGGGCGGAGTTTCAGCAGCAGCGGAGGCCAACATCAAGACGGGTCTCATCATGTGATCGGTAGCTTTGCCATCGCTCGTGATGGGATCAGGTGCCGGCAGTGGGGTGGGCGTCCACGGAGACCACAGGCGATGAGGACGAGCGCCCGAGGGGCGACTGCATGAGCACAATGACAGCTGTTCTTCGCGGCATGGGTGTGGCCGTGCGAATTTCTCGGCAGGAGTGAAGGCTGGTCTCGAGTTTGGCCGCTCCAGGACGGCGGCGATCAGGACTAAGCCAGCCAGAGTTGTGGCAGGCAGGGGGAGCGAATCCCAGAGCTTGCCCACACCCTGTCCAATGTGCGAGGGAATCCGAGTAGATGAGTTGATCATCCAGGCCGTGAGGATGAGGTGGCATCTTCTGGGCCGCGCGGGATCGGGGACCACGGCTGAACTAATCTCCTGCCTCTGGTGGCGCTAACTCGTTCTGCAGCACAGCGACCCAACCTGTTCGCGATTCGGGCGGTCAGCGAGCCTTCGCCAAGGGGGTGCGCTGATACCTACACAACCACCCTTCGGGTGACAGGAGGTTAGGGGGGTAACGAACCAGCTGAGGACAACTGCGATGGTTGTTGTGGTGGCGGTGCTGGTGATGCGCTCACGAGTTGGCGACGATGCAAGGCGACGATGCCGACGACAATGCATGATGGCAATGGGCTAACACACTGGCGATTCTGGCAAAAACGCGCGATGACGATGACGACGGTGGCAATTATTTGGCCCAGTTCCCCTTTGACGATGACTGTGGCGATGAGGGGTGTGATGATGAGTGTGGTGGTGACAAAGGTGATGATGAGTGATGATGCTTGTGGAGATCGTCTGGACACCAACGAGATATCGACTGGACACCGACGGGACACCGACGGCGGGACACCGACGGGACACCAACGGGACACCGACGGGACACCACGGGGCACGGACGGGACACCGACGAGACACCAACGGGACACCGACGGGACAACCACGGGACACCGACGGGACACCACGGCGGGACACTCCTGGCCACCGCCCGCGGACACCGACGGGACACCGACGGGGCACCACGGCGGGACGCCCACGCCGCTTCGCCTCTCCCACGCGCACAACACGAAGCCGCAACCGAAACCGATTTCACAACGGGGGGCTCTCCGTGGGCTATCCGTTACAGTTCGACCTCACCCTCCAACCTCAAATTTGTAGGTTATCTGTGCAGTGCAGTGCTGTGCTATGCTACATGTCTGATGCAGGTTAGCTACATGCGAGTTGCGAGGCCTTACAGCCTTCAGCCTAGGGCTGGCGGACAACAACGTGCACGATAGCAACGATTGCAGAAATAATTGTGAGACAGCCTTGGAATGCGGAAGCACTGCTGGCCATTTTGGCTCAAGCCGCCAATGAGAGAAGGAAATAATCGAGCCGTCGATCTTCCATACGTGCGAAAATGTTCATACGCAACTCTCCGAAGGAGTAGGGCTCAGAGGCGATTAATTCAAACCATCCCGTCCCGTCCGCAAATTTACTGGCAAATTTCCCTGGGGCATCCTCCAGAATCAAAAGGAAACCGTACGCACCCCTCACGCAGATCGCAGCAGACACGAATGGCTTTCAACAACTTAACCTAAGCCGTCAAACAGATAATGGTGTTCAAAGATGTTGGGCGCCACTCTTCGAGCAACAACAGTTTCGCGTGAGACATCCCCCAAACATTGAAGCACTACGTATTCAAAATAGTCATAATGTTCTTCAACACGACAGATTCGCCCCAGACATCCTTCAACCATTTGGCTCTGGAGCTTCGTTTGAACTGCAATCGCAAGGTGTGGAACACCCTCCTGCGCCACACACACACACACACACACACACGTCGTAAGGTGTGGCACCCCACCTGCGTTCGACTGCGATCCCGCTGTTGCACCTCCTTCCCAACAGCATCGTGGTGATCCTAATGATCCTCCTGCTCCGTTTTTCGCTGCTTCTCCATCTCCTTCCTCCTCCTTCCTCCCCCTCCTCCTCATCATCAGATCTGGCTTGATATGCCTCGTCTTGCCAACTTCCCTGCGACGCTTGCGTGATGTAATTTCTATATATGAGTCTGGGCACGCACGTGCCGCTTGTAAATACATCCGCCACCGTGTCCCCTATGGCACGTCCGGGCGTGCCAGAATGGCAAGTGCCAAATGCTGTATTGAGGCTTGTCTGGAATCTTCTAGGGACCCCCCCTCTCTGCCAACGCCAGGCCTGCGCGACTCGCCTCCCTTTCCTTCACCCGGACGAAGCGTCCGCGCTCTCGGGGCCACCAGCCCCTGCCAGATGCGACAGCTTTGCGCACCGGAGGCCAAGATCTGCCTCCAAGACTGGATTGCCCAATGCGGCTTCAAGACGGCCCACGTTGGCCTCAAGACGGCCCGTTACTGCCTCAAGACGGCCGACGAGGCCTCCGAGACGTGCCACGAGAGCCCCAAGAACGTTCGCGCCCAGGAGGGCCCAGGAGGGCCCCACGAGGGGCCTCCATCGGGGGAACACGAGCCGACAGTTCGAGCCCTCCGCACCAAGAGGCTCCCAGGAGGCCCCGAAAGGGACAGAAGTGGCTCCCAGCAGGGCCCCGAGGGGCAAAACTCACTGCTGCGGTGTTCTCTGGCCGTCGCCTCGGTGCGTGCAGCTATCGCCGCTCGATGCGTCACACGTCGGGACCTCCCGTCTCCCTCGCGCAGGCAGCCGCCACCGAGAAGACTGGGTTGGCACGGTGGCGGGACCTGCCGCAGACAGCTGGACATTCATCTACAGGTGCATAAAGACAAAACACTAATCATCGCCACCATCATCGTCATCATCAGCATCATCATCACTACCATCATCAGCATCATCATCAGCAGCATCATCATCAGCAGCATCATCGGCATCATCATCATCAGCATCAACATCATCAGCAGCATCATCATCAGCATCATCAGCATCATTACCATCATCCTAATCATCACCATCAGCAGCAGCACCACCACCAATCCTCATAATCATCGACAGCAAACTTCTCCTCCCACCATCATGGTTGTATATATCTCTTGATATGGTATATGTATAAATGTATATGTCTCTCTCTATATATATACACGTGTGCGTGCGCGTGTGTGTGTGTGCGAGTGTGTGTGTGTGTGTGTGTTGTGTGTTGTGTGTGTGTTGTGTGTTGTGTGTGTTGTGTGTGTGTGTTGTGTGTGTGTTGTGTGTGTGTTGTGTGTGTGTGTGTGTGCGTGCGTGCGTGCGTGCGTGCGTGCGTGCGTGCGTGCGTGCGTGCGTGCGTGCGTGCGTGCGTGCGTGCGTGCGTGCGTGCGTGCGTGCGTGCGTGCGTGCGTGCGTGCGTGCGTGCGTGCGTGCGTGCGTGTGTGTGTGCGTGCGTGCGTGCGTGCGTGCGTGCGTGCGTGCGTGCGTGCGTGCGCGCGCGTGCGTGGGTGGGTGGCTGGGTGGGTGGGTGGGTGGGTGGGTGGGTGTGGGTGTGTGTGTGTGTGTGTGTGTGGGTGTGTGTGGGTCTGTGTGGGTGAGTGTGTGGGTGTGTGTGTGTGTGTGCGTGTGTGTGTGTGTGTGTGTGTCCCTCTCTCGCTGTCTCTCTCACTCTCTCGGTCTACCTCTCTCCAGATCGCTGCACGCTGCTCGCGTCTCGACCCTCTCTACAAACCCGTTTCCTCCGTTCTCACCCGTCCTCAGCCGTCCTCCATCTGGCCTCCTCCTCCTCCTACCGCGTACTCTTGGGCAGGTGCCGGGCAGCCCTCCCCACTTCCCACTCCCTCCAGGGGTTGATCCTGCCCCATGCCCTCTCCCTGCCTCCATCCCCCTCCTCTCTCCTGCACAGTCGTCCCCTCCTCCCTCCCTCAGCCGTCCCCCCTCCCTCGTCCCCTCCTCCAACGCCCCGTCCTGCCTCCCTCGCCTCCCTTGCTCCGACCCTCGTCTCCCTCCCTCGTTCCTTCCTCCATCGGCCCGTCCTCTGTCCCCCCTCCCTCGTCTCCCTTCATCCCTCGTCCCTTCCCCCCTCCCTCGGCCGTCCTCCCTCCCTCCTGCATCGTCCCTCTCCCTCCCTCTTCCACGTCGGGCACGGGCCGATCGTGCACGGCGCTCTCCCCCGCCCCTCCGCCGGAGCTGCGCTCGCGGCAAGCCAGGATCGCCGATCGAATCGGCAGAACTCGGATCGGGCGACGCCAAAAACCGCATCGCGCATCGGAGTGTCCGCACCAAGTCGGATCGAATCGAAGCCCTGGAAAATCTTTTCGAATCGAGCCAGAGGAATCGGATAGCACCCTGGATCGGTGTGTGTGCGTGCGTGCGTGCGTGTGTGCGTGCTTGTGTGTGCGTCTGTGCGTGCTTGTGTGTGCGTGCGCGTG